ATGGATCTATATAGTGTGTATATATGTAGAATATATGTAAAACTAGTTTGTTCTGAGGTTTCAATCTGCTTGTGTAATTTGGAGAAAGGTGCTGCCAGTGTTCTCGCCGCTCCAGCTGTGTCTATGGATGAAGCCGACACCCAGGTTGTTGAGTCATCGGACATGGATGTAGCAGCCGACCTTTGGAAGGATGCCGATGCGCTGATAGAGGTTCATGGGTTTGAGCCACCAGACTTTGTTCCTTGCCTAGAATGACATGAGGGTGCGACTGCTCAAGTCCTGACACATGTGTATACATGCATGCTCGTGCTGCAACAATGCACACCGGTGTCTTGTGTGAGGTTACTCGCCGTGGGCAGCTTGCAGCGCGGCAGGAGGCCAAGGCCAGTTCGAAGAATGCCAAGGGGGAGCCAGGTGATGATGATTCCAAGAATGGTGGCAAGAAGGGAAAGCAACCGAAGCAAATGAAGCGTCCGGCTGCCAGCTCTTCAGTCGGCCCGAAGAGAGCAAAGTGTGATGATGGGGAAATGGAGCTGGAGCGGGAGGGTGGCGGTGAGCCATCTTCAGCTGTGGAGATGATTGCGGAGAGTGACGCAGTTGTGGCCCCAGCCGAGGCAAAGAGTGTCAACACCAAGAGGGCTTATCTTGCTGATGGGCTTCTTGACGAGGATGCTATGACCGTGTATTTTGGCCCCGAGGACGTGCCACGTCCGAGCCGCTCGCCGTCGCCCGAGCCAGAGCCTGAGATCACTGGCCGAGGCCGGGGTCGCGGGGGACGGGGTCGTGGGGGCAACAAGGGACGGGGTGGCAAGGGACGGGGTAGCCGAGGAAGGGGCGGCAACGATGGTGGTGTCACTGAGTCCGCTGCCAGCAAAGCCGGCCGGGGTAGGGGCAGGAGCTCCGGCAAAGACAAGTGCCACGACAAAGGAAGAGGCTCCGACTGAGGCCGTTGCCAGCAAAGCTGGGCGGGGTAGGGGCAAGAGCTCCCGGAAGGACAAGTGCCACGACAAGGACGAGGCTCCTGCTGAGGCCGTTGCCAGCAAAGCTGGCCGGGGTAGGGGCAGCAGCTCCGGGAAAGACAAGTGCCACGGAAGAGGCTCCGGCTGAGGATGGAAACCAGAAGGTTGAGTCAGAACACAAGCCAAAAAAAAAGCGGAGGAGCTGCCCAAAGGGTGAGGAACCCT